CTCCCCCATGTAAGTTTTGGGAGAAAAGCAGTTGTTCTTGGATGTGACTTTCTCTTTAACAGAAGGTTCCCACACATAGCCTATTTAATCCTCCCAATATTCTTGAAAAAAAAACTTATGTGGAAGTTAGATCATTCAGCATCCATCCTGATCTTTCTTGGGGAGTCATATTACAATAAGCATTCATCCTGCCTTCGCCCTGATTTGTTTGTCAAGTTTTTATATGTGTTCCCAGTAATAATTCACTCATTTCTCACTTGTCAATGCATTTCCCAGCACTCCTCCCCAATCACACTAAGTCTGGGTTGTACCCCACTGAATTCGATTAGATTCATCGAAATTAATGGGACTATGTTAGTAGATTAGCATTGGCTATAACCCTGATTCCTTTATCTTTTTTTTAAAAAAATGGATTTGTTGTCCCAGGGTAATAGATGGCTTTAACCCACATTATTTACGTGCGAACCCAATTTTAGGGTACACAGTCAGGAGGCACCTTGAGTAAGCTTTCTAAATTTGGAAAAACAAATAGCCACCACACATATTGACGCTACCAATTTTGTATAAATAGAGTTTGTAAAAAATTCTTATTTTCTCTCTCAGTGACTGCTGTGTGCAAAATGATTTTAAAAATAAATGAAATAAAAACAACATCCAAATACTCTTAGAGTTTCATGAGTCCTTCTGTTTTGATTCCATCAGCCAACAAAGTGGGGCATGGCTAGGTTAGGCTAGGCGATTGTAGTTTGAGGCAATAGGAGTGTGCAATGAAGAAGGAAAGAGGGAAGGAGAGCGCGTGTGTGTGTGTGTGTGTGCGCGCGCGCACTTGACACTGCAACTCCCCAGACCAGACCAGGCATAGAATTCTTTTCTTGAAATATTTGTGAATGATTATGGGAGTGAGGCATATTAAACTGACAAAAGCTCCTATCACTGCTCACATATTTTCATCTGCATGCAAAGTTATAAAAGTGCATCAACAACTCATGAGAAGCATTTGATTCACAAATGTATTTCTTTGGTTACTGATCTATGGCAGGCAAGCAGCATCAAAAGGCAAAGAAGGCCCATTAGGAGAAATCATATAGGTTAATGAGTCACCAACTTGTTAACCAGAGTTGGCGTCACTAGGCAATCACAGAGGGTCAGACTAGAGACCCATGCCCACTCTCCGGATTCAGTCTTGCCTGATTGCTCCTCCTCCTGCTCCTCCTCCTCTACTGTTGCCCTTCTGGGTCAAGTCAAAGGTCCATCTAGCCTCAGTCACGGATCTGACTGTTCTCTCAATGCATATACTGCAGATCAGTGCTGTGGTTAGTGCTTTCATCAGCCGCCTTCTCACTCTCATTGCCCTGGGCTCAGACCACTGGGTGCTATTTGGCAATTTGAACCATGGCCTCTGGAAATTTTGCCGTCCTTCTGCTTCAAGCTATATTTGTTTTACATATTCGATGGATCTAGAACCAGGTGAGATCTTCTCTGTCTTGTGCTTGGACTTGGGAGAAAAGCAGTTGTTCTTGGATGTGACTTTCTGTTTAACAGAAGGTTCCCACACACAGCCTATTTATTCCTCCCAATATACTTGCAGAAAACTTATGCGGAAGTTAGATCATTCAGCATCCATCCTGATCTTTCTTGGGGAGTCATATTACAATAAGCATTCATCCTGCCTTCGCCCTGATTTGTCTGTCAAGTTTTTATATGTGTTCCCAGTAATAATTCACTCATTTCTCACTTGTCAATGCATTTCCCAGCACTCCTCCCCAATCACACAAAGTCTGGGTTGTACCCCACTGAATTCCATTCAGAGTAGATTCATCAAAATTAATGGGTCTACGTTAGTAGGTTAACATTGGCTATAACCCTGATTCCTTTATATTTTTTAAAAAATATGGATTTGTTGTCCCAGGGTAATAGATGGCTTTAACCCACATTATTTATGTTCAACCCCAAATTTAGGGTACACTGTCTGGAGGCAGCTTGAGTAAGCTTTCTAAATTTACCTCACATGGAAGTATTTGGAAAAACAAATATCCACCATGCATATTGACACTACCAATTTTGTATAAATAGAGTTTTTTAAAAAATGCTTATTTTTTCTCTCAGTGACTGCTGTGTGCAAAATGGTTTTAAAAATAAATGAAATAAAAATAACATCCAAATACTCTCAGAGTTTCAAGGTAAAGGCAAAGGGACCCCTGACCATTAGGTCCAGTCGTGACCAATTCTGGGGTTGTGGCGCTCATCTTGCTTTATTGGCCGAGGGTGCCAGCGTACAGCTTCCGGGTCATGTGGCCAGCATGACTATGCCGCTTCTGGCAAACCAGAGCAGCGCACGGAAATGCCGTTTACCTTCCCGCCGGAGCGGTACCTATTATCTACTTGCACTTTGACGTGCTTTCGAACTGCTAGGTTGGCAGGAGCTGGGACCGAGCAACGGGAGCTCACCCCGTCACGGGGATTCGAACCGCCGACCTTCTGATCAGCAAGTCTTAGGCTCTGTGGTTTAACCCACAGGGCCACCCACATCCCCAGAGTTTCATGAGTTGCTCTCAAATGGGGGTGGGAAACCTGTGTTTGGCAGATTCTTCTGTTCATTTAACACAGGGTTGGCACCATGAAGCTTACAGTATCTGAATTATAGATAAGTGGAGAAACAGGATTGTGATCCGTCTCTAGACCAGGGTTTCCGAAACTTTGGTCTCCAGCTGTTGTTGGACTACAACTCCCATCATCCCTAAGTAGCAGGTTTAGTGGTCAGGGATGGTGGGAATTGTAATCCAACAACAGCTGGAGACCCAAGTTTGGTAAACACTGGACTAGACAATCGATTAGATGTTACAACAAAAACCAACCTGATACAAAGAGAATTGGGAAACACTGCTGTAGACCAAGATGGAGTGGTGGGTGGGGCTTCTTCAGTCCCATGGCCACAATCTCTTCTTTGGCAACCTTTTTGGTGGGCCGTGCCACTCTTACTTTCATACAACAGACCACATTCATAGAACAGACCCATGCAAAAGGCAGAGGTTTCTGCACTGCTAGAATCACACATGCATGGAGCTTATTTCTCACTTGTTACTCAACATACAGTGGTACCTTGGGTTACAGACACTTCAGGTTACAGACTCCGCTAACCCAGAAATAGTACCTCGGGTTAAGAACTGTGCTTCAGGATGAGAACAGAAATCCTGCTCCGGCGGAGCGGCGGCAGCGGGAGGCCCCATTAACTAAAGTGGTGCTTCAGGTTAAGAACAGTTTCAGGTTAAGAACAGACCTCCAGAATGAATTAAGTTCTCAACCTGAGGTACCACTGTATTCAGGTAAGGGCTGTAGCTCAGAGGCAGATCAACGACTCTGCATGCAGAAGGACTCAGGTTCAGCCCCAGGTATCTCCAGGTAGGGATGGGAAAGACCCATGCCACAAATTCTGGAAGACTACTGGTAGTAGACAATACTGAGCTTGATGGCAGTGGGTGCATGGCCAAGCTGTTCTGCTTATCTCCCCATCTTCCTCTCTTGCACAGATACCATGAAAATTTAAGGGCTGCCTTTTTACAAATACTTAGTATATAACTAAATTGAAAATGGGTCCCTGCTGTCACAGTCATTTCTCTGATGGGAGAAATGTTGTGTGGCGCCCTGGAAAAGAGGAGACTGAGAGGATATATGATAGCCATCTTCTAATATCTCAAAGGCTGTCACATGGAAGATGGTGCAAGCTTGTTTTCTCCAGCTCTGGAGGGTAGGACTTGAACCAATGGTTACATGAAAAGAGATTCCTGACTGAACATCAGGAAGAACTTTCTGACAGTAAGAGTTGTTTGACAGTGGAAGGGTCTCTTCCGGGAGGTTGTGGACTCTCCTTCCTTGGAGGTTTTTAAGCAGAGGTGGGATGGCCATATGTCATGGATGCTTTAAGTTAGAATCCTACATTGCAGGGGTTCGGACTAAATGACCATCGGGATCCCTTCCAACTATGCAATTTCATGATTCTATTCTTATTCTTATTCTTATTTTAATCATACGAGCTGACTTGATGTACTTCCCTTGCAAACCATCCAGAGAACCCAGAGTAGAGTCGTATCTTGGTTGTCAAACAGCTTAGTTCCCAAACGTTTTGGCTCCCAAAGTTAATGCTGTAAACCCAGAAGTGACTGTTCCGGTTTGCCAACTATTTTTGGAAGCTGAATGTCCGATGGGGCTTCTGCATCTTCTGATTGGCTGCAGGAGTTTCCTGCAGCCTATCAGAAGTCGCGCTTTGGTTTTCAAACGTTTTGGAAGTCTAACGGACTTCTGGAACAGATTTCATTCGACTTCCAAGGTATGACTGTATATGAACATTGGATGTATTTTTTAAACAACAAGAGACCATAATAATAAATACATTTAGGCTGAGTTCTGAATTACAACTCCCAAGATCTCTCACTGAGGCTGTACTATAGTCAGGGGCACCAACTATAGAGGGCTGAAGCCCCTTCAATATTTGAGGGCAGGGGGTGAGGCCCTCCCAGAATTAAGGGGGCTCCAAACAAATCAGCCTCTTGCCTGCACCCTCTGCGCTCCCCATCCCCTGCCACTGGCGGGTAATTGGTGGCACACCAGAGAGGAGCAGGATGCATGTAGGGTGATCTTTACTTTCCTTGCTTTGTAGCCCCGCCACTGTCAGGGCGCAGTGGGGATTTCTGCAAGGGGGGGAGCCTGAGTGTCCCCCCCCCACTGCATACCCGAGGCAACAGACCCCTGGCACCCTCCACCTGGTGCATGATGTTGTGTGTATGATGTCACACAACGCTGGACCCCCTCGATGTTGGCGCCCCTGGCTGTAGTTCAACGACATCTGGAAAGCGGAAGGTCTAGCGCCTGGGCCTAGCACAGAGCACACTGCCTGATGACATAATCTGTTTGTGACAGCACAATATTCAGAATGCATCACGTCACACGTGCGACTTCGGAGCAGTGGCAGTTGGCCATTGGCTGGGCAAGCGGCACTTCAGCAGGGCAGCGCACACCCATGCTCAGTCAGCAGCACGCCTGAAGTAACGTGAAAACCTCCCTTCCCTGGGCTCATCATCCTGAATCCGCTTTGCAGTCGCAGACCCAGCGTTTCCATCAATGTGCAGCCTGGAGGTTATCACAGAGATTTTTGCTGCCCTCTGCTTTGTGCTTCATATCGCTGCTCTGTCCACAGAGCACTGGCTATCGAACGTCAATGAGCACATGGGGCTGTGGAAAGGTTGCCATGGAACACAGTGTGTGTTGTTTGGGGTACAAGTTCCACGTAAGTTCGTCTTTGCCTTGGGCTATGAGTACTGGAGATGTGGTACCCTGAAGTGGCTTAGAGCTGTTCTTATTATTTATTAGGTAAAGGTAAAGGGACCCCTGACCATTAGGTCCAGTCATGACCGACTCTGGGGTTGCGGCGCTCATCTCGCTTTATTGGCCAAGAGAGCCGGCGTGCAGCTTCCGGGTCATGTGGTCAGCATGACTAAGCCGCTTCTGGCAAACCAGAATAGTGCACAGAAATGCCGTTTACCTTCCCGCCAGAGCGGTACCTATTTATCTACTTGCACTTTGACGTGCTTTCGAACTGCTAGGTTGGCAGGAGCAGGGACGGAGCAACGGGAGCTCACCCCGTCGCGGGGATTCAAACCGCCGACCTTCTGATCGGCAAGTCCTAGGCTCTGTGGTTTAACCCACAGCGCCACCCACGTCCTATTATTTATTACCCCAGTGCTATTTTTCTAGAAGAGGAGATGCCACAGCTCCCCACGAATGCCTGCCTTGGTCTCTTATGATGTCAATGGTGCCCACCTGAGAGGTGCTGGAACTGAGTTCTGGCTGAAAAAAAAGCCCTGACTTACGCTATGTATGTGCTGCTCTTCAGACGGGCCTTACAAAGCGCTTTTCATAAGTTTATTACAAGAAGCATCACTTTACAAAATATTAATGTTACAATAGAGTGGCTAAGACAACTTGTTTGCTTGCAAAAAGCTGCTTCTTTTCCTTCCCCTCAGAGCAAGATGGTCCTTCAGATACTTCTGTGGGAGCTGGGTGGTGACAGTTCCTAAAGCTTCTTTCCTCAGTCCTCTTCATTTTGAACGTTTCCTGCAGTTTGGTCCTTCAGTCTGCTGATAGTTCAGAGTGACTAGGGATAATGCTACACAGACACACACACAGTGCCAGATGAAACCCAGTGAAGGCCCCTGGGCAGTTGAAATCAGGAGGGACCATAATTTATCTTGTGTGCTCTAGTGGGATAACATTGAGGGAGCTGATAAAAACTGACCTCTCTGTCCCTGGAGGGAAATATTGCATGGGAAGTCGGCTGCACTATCGTCTAGTCTCATTGATACATTTAACCCCTGTTCTCTCTTTCCTCCGTCTAGCATACATGCAGGCTACCCGAACCTTGATGTTGCTGGCGTTGTTAGCTGGAAGCTTCTCTTTGCTTAGCATTACTTCCATCTTCTTCCAGTGCCCCTTTGGCTGCATCTCCAAACCAAGGATCTCAACAATATTCAGCACCATCGCAGGTATGGTGGGGGTGTCATAAGCATTTGCTTCCACAGTCAGCCAAGCTGTAGCTCAGGGCTAGAGTATCTGTTCTGCATGGAGAAGGTGTCAGCTTCGGTCCTCAGCATCTCCATGTGGGGCCAGAAGAGACCCCTGGCCTCAATCCCCCAGAGCTGCTGCATGCCACTGTAGGCAGTACTGGGTGAGATAGGCCAATGGTTCCGGACTCAGCATAAGGCAGCTTCCTGTGTTCCTTCGAGTTTGGTAACTAACTCAAAGCCAACCCTTGACTTGGAAAAATAAAACAAAATAACGCCCCACTCCCCAGATCCTATGCCAAGAAGGCTTGAGCTGAAATGGAAAGCTGAAATCAATACACATGGCAAACTTAAGTCCATTGAATACAAGGCGTCCCCTCTGATTAGGGCTGATACCACCTGAAATCCAGCAAAAATAAATCTTAGATGGCCTTAAAGATGTGCACAGGATTATAACCCCTAAGGTGGCTTGAAAGGGGAATCCTGCAAATTCATGGACGATAAGGCTACCACAGGGTTGCAACAGGTTTGGCAGCCTCTGGGATTGGGACTGGAAAAAGAAGAACAAGAAATTTATTTACGATATCCCACTTCTTTCTCCAATTTGGATCACCCTCACAACAACCCTGCAGGCTGAGAGACTTTGACTAGATCAAGGTCACCCAGTGAGCTTCATGGTGGAGGGGAATCTGAAACCTGGTTTCCCGGGTCCTAGTCTAACATTCCAACAACTATGCCATACTGGCTGTCAAGCAAGCATAAAGGTAAAGGTAAAGGTAAAGGGACCCCTGACCATTAGGTCCAGTCGTGGCCGACTCTGGGGTTGCGGCGCTCATCTTGCTTTATTGGCCAAGGGAGCTGGCGTACAGCTTCCAGGGTCATGTGGCCAGCATGACTAAGCCGCTTCAGGCGAACCAGAGAAGCGCATGGAAACGCCATTTACCTTCCCACTAGAAGGTATCTACTTGCACTTTGACATGCTTTCAAACTGCTAGGTTGGCAGGAGCAGGGACCGAGCAATGGGAGCTCACCCCGTCGCGGGGATTCGAACCGCCGACCTTCTGATCGGCAAGTCCTAGGCTCTGTGGTTTAACCCACAGCGCCACCCACAACTATGCCATACTGCCTGTCAAACAAGCATAGGGGGTTACTATTACTGAGCTCAAAATAGGAAGCTTTATATTGAATCAGCCCAGTACTCATACCCTCCAAGTGTCCCTATTTCCCAGGGACGGTGCCAGAATGATGAAAGCTATCCCAACTTCTGATTTGATCCTGGAATGTCCTTATTTCCTCCCCTAGTCCTGTTGCCACTGAGCTTGGGGAGAAGGAAGAGCTGGTGCTTGCCCTGAGCAGCAGTGGTGGCTGAAAGGGAGCACCCCATTCCTCTCCATGGAGATTGCCGACCTCCTCCCTTTGACGGCTCTTAGCAGCTGTTGGAGAGAGGGCAAAGTGGAGGAGAGGCTGCTGCCACTGAGGCCCAGCTAATGCACCAGCTCTGAGGTGCAGGCAGAGGGCAGGGCTGCCCTGGGCAGGAAGAAAGAGGGGGAAGAGTGGAACGCAAAGAGCCTAGAATTTGTTTTTATAAATGCCTCGTGCATCCACATCTAATCTTGCCCCTTTCTAAAAGTTATGTACTGGTATGTGCCAAAGAATACAGTAAACTTGGGATTAAGGAGTTTTCTCAGGACAGCAGAGGGTGTGTCAGAGACCAGGCTGAGGAGAGCTACTCTGATGAGGAATGGTGTCCAGGATGCAGATGCCCAGGAGCAGTGGAGCATTATAGATTTGGAGCAGTGGTTTGCAGAGGGAACTAGTTTGGAAGACAACAGCTGGGCAGAACTCAGTGGGGAACAGCTAGGAGGAGAAGAACAGGGAGAGAGAGAATTAACAGACTCCCTTTCGCTGGAAAGTGTCCAAGTGCTCAGTCCAAGGTCAAGGGGAGCAGATAAGGTAGCTACACAGAAAACCAAATGGTTGTGAGATCAGGTTGCCAGATGAGGAAGTGATGGGGGTGGCTTGGGGGGAAGTGGGTGGAAACTTTAATTGGGAGCACCTTTCTTCCAAGAATAGAGTCTTTGTTCTTTCACTGTGAACATTAAATTCTCTTTAACTGATAAGAGACTATTTTCACTTTGTTCTGCTTATCCATGGCCAAACGGAGGGAGGAAGCCGCTTCCTCGAAGCCTGTCAGGGTTGTGTCCTGGTGGTGTAGTGGGGGTGGGGAAACAAAAATTGGGGATGTTGAGGACGGTCAGTTGGGTGAGTGAGAAATGTCCCTATTTTCATCTGAGGACTGTTGGAGGGTATGAGTACTGTCTACACTGACAGGTAGCAGTTCTCCAGGGATTCAGGCAGGAAACGTTTCCAGCTTGGATGAGCCCAGGATTGAACCAGTTGCTCTGCCTTACACATCAACTATACGTGTTTCTCAGAGGAATCAGATCGACACTGGGGGAAAGGTGAGCCTGGGATATGAGGCTCTAAGGAGTTTTATTTGCTCCTAGGCTTATTTGTTCTGGTTTCGGTATGCGTCTTCACCAGCCATATGCGACCAACTGATAATTCGGGGTGGTCCCTGTACTTGGCCTGGGCCTCGATTCCTCTGTGCCTTGTAACTGGTGAGTATGTGTGGCATGGGACAGACTGAAATGTATTCACAGAATCTGAAATATACTCGGAGTCGAGTGTGGATTTCATGCTCTTTATTCAGCTCATAGTAGTGAAGAATGGAAGTTCCCCCGAAATGTCTGCTTTATATACATTATTTACACAATGGGCCCCACGTGGTTGGCTAATTCTGGGATTCTCCTGAAGGCCAATCAGGTTGAGGATTCACTTCCACCTGGAAGTTGGATTGGGTGGCAGACTGCTGCGTTCTGGATCCTATTGTTCTAGGACCAATCAGACTGCTGCATTTTATCATATTCAACTCAGTACATAACAGAATCGTAGAGGTGGAAGGAACCACAAGGGCCAGGGCCGTTTTTACCCAGAGGTGCAAGGGGTGTGGGGTACCCTAGCATCGAATTCTGGGGGGCGCCAGGTGCCCGCCTCTGAAGGCGCTGAAGCTCTTAACTGTCTACCTGTGATGAAATAATTAGAGGCATCTTGTGTGAAGGCGTCACTGGGCTGGGAAAGGGTGTGCGCCGATGGCGGTAGCTGGGCTGTGGCCACGCGGCTGCACCCAGGGGACCCTGGCCCTCCTGTTGGCTTGAAGGAGGTGCTTCCCAGAAGCGCTTGTCCGCAGCCGAGTCCCTTCTTCTGTGCTGAGGCGCCGACGCTGAGGTAGGGGCATGAGCAAGTGGGCAGGAGCAGGTCACAGAGTACGGCTGGAGGAGCTGCAACTTGGTGAGCGTGAGGTGCAGCAGTGGCGGAGCAGCGCTCGCCCCACTGCCAGTGCCGCGCACCCTTCGGCTGGCATCGTGCGGGTGGCACTGAGTCAGCCCCATGCCTCGAAGGCTGCTTGCTGCTCCCCCTGGCTTGGCCCAGCCCCCACCCACAACCGGCGGGGGGAGAAAGAGGCACCTCCAGAACAAAGAAGGGGCAGCAACGTGTGCTTCCTCCTGCTTCGCCGCCTTCAAGGCCCTGCTTCCCTCCTCCGGCCCCGCCATCATATTAACAGGCCTCTCCCTGACACTTTCATGGGCCATAGATTATTTAATAGCCATAGGCCTAAGTAAAGAGGAATGTTTTTGCCTGGCGCCTAAAGACATGTAATGAGGGCGCCAGGCGAGCCTCTCTGGAGAGAGCATTCCGCAATCAAAGAGCCACCACAGAAAAGGCCCGTTCTCTTGTTGCCACCCTCGGGACCCCTTGTGAAGAAGGCACGTGAAGAAGGGCCTCACCCATCCCTAGACACTTCCAGTTACCGTACTTTTCTGTCTATAAGACGCCCCCTTGTATAAGACTATTTTGGGGGACTAAAAATTTCAAAAATGGTGGTGGGGAGATTCCCCAAAGTTGTTGAGCTTTACCCGCAGTGGTCGCAGAGGGGTCTTTGCAGCCCACGCTTTGATCCTCTCGCTGTGCCGCTGTTGCTGCACCCTCCTTTTCCCCCTCCTGTCTCGGTCCAGCCTCAGACTCACCAGGACTGTAAAAGCTATTGCAAGGCAACCTGCTCGCAAACCCTGTGCAAACACTGCATGTGGGAGACTTCTACCTGCACATCCAAACGTGCTTCCCGCTCCCCTTCTCCTCCACAGGGCTGGGGGAAATGCGCTAATTAGGGGATTGTCATTAAAAACAGGGGAAAGAAAAGCCCTCCCCCCCCGTGCGTTTCCCAGGGAGATCAGGCCCCGGGTCTGCCCCAATCTTGAGTGCAGGTCTTTGCAAATGCTCCCTACCCACCAGAAGGGAGTAGTTTTCAGCACAGGAGGCCGGCTAATTAATCAGCCGTTTGGCTCAGTGCCTTGCGTATACTTGGCATGCTCGAATGGCCACACAAAAGCTTCAGTTAGATTTATTTTTAATTGCACAACTCCATCCATAGAAATGCACCAAGGCTATCCGCTGCTGCCGGCATTGCAAAAGCCACCTATCCTCTGTCCCCTCGCTGAAAAAAGCAGCAAAAGGCCGACCAATTGCCGCAATGACAGCCAATCAATACCAGCCCTTGACACAGCCACCAGTAACATTCTCTGACTCGTGGCAGCAACCAATCCCACAATGCACTACCCATGTATAAGACTACCCCCAATTTTCAACATGATTTTTGAAGGAAAAAACCTTCTCTTGTACATGGAAAAGTACGGTATATCCAGGACTAGCAGCTTGTAGAAGGATCAAAATGCACCAACTATGCAGAAGAGAATAGTCCTATCCAAAGATATTCTACTTGGAGATGCCAACATCTTTAAGTTGGACTAGCACTAGATTGGACTAGCACTATTGGGTTGCATTTTGGCCTGTCAGAATGGTAGAGTGTGGAGGATCAGAGCATGATCCTACCTGCGAGCCAGAGAAAGATTGCTGGGGTCACAGATCCACATGTCTCAGACGGTGTATCATTCTGCTCCACCTATTGCCTCAAATAACCCCTTTTCTCTCCTGACAGGTGGGTCTGCTTTGGTATTGGATACTGCGATGTTAGACTGAGCAAGACGATGTGACTGTTCTGCCATTTCCCATGACGTCTGAAGCTACATTGATAAGGTGTGGTGCAAAGATAGCCTGCACTGGGGGCGAGCTGGACCTGGAAGAAGCGGCTGTATTTTCCCCTTAGTGGCAGAATTGATGCATTATTTGCCCCCCCCCTTATAATATTATTGCTATATATTTTGGAAAGTGGTTTGTCCCTTTGTCCTCTGTGAGTTTGAACGCTTCTAATGATATTGTCACCAAAAAGCAGAAGCCAGTTTTTGTCTGTCAGGATGCCGCTGGGCACCATTTTCAATCCCGATAGTAGAGCACAATGGTCCAAACCGAAGAAGATGTTGCCAGATGTGCCACAGTGATTTCCAGGAATGAGGCGCTGTTTTTGGTCAATGTTTGGAAACTGCCATCTGCCATTTTTAATTCAAGATGGCACGCTGAAATGCTCCCAACTGCACTGGTTATATAATTTATTATAATAATTTATTATTTATACCCTGCCCATCTGGCTGGGTTTCCCCAGCCACTCTGGGTGGCTCCCAACCAAATATTAAAAACACAATACAGCATTAAACAGTAAAAACTTCCCTAAACTTACCTCTGGAGATATCATCGCCCAATTTCATATGGCAGTTCCTAAGATGGAAGAATGGGTTTTGGTTTATGTTTGGATACTGTTAGATGTTATTTTTGACCAAAGTGTTTCAAACTGCCCTGACTTGGGCACCTCTCAAGATATCAGGGCCCAATTTTGTGTGGTTGTTCCTGAGACCAAGAAAGAGATTTTGGTCTATATTTGGATACCATTGCATTCCAGTTTGAATCCAGATAGTAGACTGCAGTCATTTTAATCAGATTTGGAAGAAATACCTAATACGGTTGTGCACTGGACTTGACTAAACTACAAATCTCGAAAAGAATTGGGCTAATTTGGACAGAACTGGGTTTCAACTAAGTCAGGTTAAGGCAGCCTTGGTTCACCCAAGGTTGGGCCTCCTGGAGCTAACCGAGGCTCGCTGGCAGAGAAACAGGGGAGCAGGTGGCACACCATGCCCACGGGATGCACGCCAGCCATGCCCCCGCCTGCTCTCTGCCCCCCCCACCAGAGCTTGAAGCTCCACCACTACCGAGGCTATAAGGGTTGAGATCTTGGGTTGGAAGAATGAGAGGCAAGCAACAACTGCGAAGTGTTGTTGTTGTAGTTGTTGTTTAGTCGTTTAGTCGTGTCTGACTCTTCGTGACCCCATGGACCAGAGCACGCCAGGCACTCCTGTCTTCCAATGCCTCAAACTCATGCTGGTAGCTTCGAGAACACTGTTCAACCATCTCGTCCACTGCCGTCCCCTTCTCCTTGTGCCCTCCATCTCTCCCAACATCAGGGTCTTTTCCAGGGAGTCTTCTCTTCTCATGAGGTGGCCAAAGTATTGGAGCCTCTGCTTCAGGATCTGTCCTTCCAGTGAGCACTCAGGGCTGATTTCCTTAAGAATGGATGCGTTTGATCTTCTTGCAGTCCATGGGACTCTCAAGAGTCTCCTCCAGCACCATAATTCAAAAGCATCAATTCTTCGGCGATCAGCCTTCTTTATGGTCCAGCTCTCACTTCCATACATCACTACTGGGAAAACTATAGCTTTAACTATACGGACCTTTGTTGGCAAGGTGATGTGTAACACTGTTCAAAAGAGGCCTTTGAAAGAACCCCACATTGTTCTTTGGCTATGCCTGTTCTTGGGCACATGCACAACACATACATGCAGTCAAGCCAGTGAGCAGAAGGTACAATCCTGCTGGCTGAAGGGGTCTACATCACCAGCATGCCACCCACAGGGAACAAGGCTAGACAACCATACCACAGCGGGGTTGAAAAGGGGGTGGCCAACTCCACAGAGGTCCCAAGGAGGGAACAGTGGCCTAAGGGAAGAGGAGGAAATAACTGTGCTGGTCAGTCTCCCACTGTTAGTTATGGCTCTCATGGTGATGGCTGGTGCAGGAGTCAATTTGGGTAGGTGACTTAGGGGTGTAGGATCCAGCAGACTGAGTGGACGAGACCAACAGTTTTCCAAAGGGGGTTACTAGTTACCGTACGTTACTTAGCCTTACAAGGTGGCCAAAGGTTCTCATTTGTTCCCTTTGCTTTTTTAAATTTAAGTTTTAAAAAGAGTCCCCATGCTACTCACAGGCTCTCTCTGAAATATTCCACCAGTTGTGGGAAGTGTGGCTGGTGGGAAGGGGAAGGGAAGGGGAAGGGGAAGGGGAAGGGAAGGGCTCTCTTCCCACCTTCCCACCAGCTGCATTTCCTGGTGACACCTAATAAGACCAGGAGCAAAGAACAACATGAAATTATACCCTATTTTCAAGAGGGAGAATATTATTATTATTATTAGAAAAATGGGGAAAGGGAGAACTAACCCCAGTTACTTTCAATGAGCCATGGGGAAAAAACCAAGAAGAATATAACCAAAAAGGAAGTTAAATTCAGGAGAACATTACATGATTTCATGAATATTAAAGTAAATGCTTAAAGAGCATTTTAACTAGCAGATTTGCTTACTCTGT